CTACCGACCCCTGGGTCAGCCGGAGAAGTTTTGGTGCCCGGTGGGCCAGATCCCAAAAGAGAACCCTCTTAGCCTTTCCTCTCCAGGCTGCCTCTTTTTACAACAGACTGAGAGGATAGTTTCCTGTGAAAAGCTGAGAGAGAGCTACCTTGCCTTTGAAGGAAGCGGGAGGAGAAAAGCCACCTTTAGCAGCACCCACGCGGCCTTGGCTGAGGGCAGGCCCTCTTGTTTCCTCTCTCCCCCTCCGCCCCATAAAGTTTTCACAGCTTCAGAATGTGCGCATGTGTCCTTGCGCTGGTGCCGCTTCCCCGCTTTAAGAAACCTTGCGGAATCAGACGAATGCCTTGTAAACAAGAGGCCCACAGAATCCTTAAACATCGGGGCTGAGAATAGGCGAGAGCAGCCCTCTGGGACGCCGAGGGGAGAAGGCCTTCATTGGGTGGCGGTGGTCGCGCTGGGAGAAAAGCACCTTTTGCGACTGAGCGGTGGTACGGCTCAATGGCGGTGTCCCTGCGCTGGCGGAAAACACGCATGGACCTAAAGGAGCATTCGGGTCCATGTATTTCCATGTGCAGGTTTTCCTTTGGAGGTGGGCGGAATAGAAAATCTAGGCGCATGTTCCTGGGGCAGGCATCGTCCCTTCCTGGAATATCCAAAATTCTCATCTGCTGGAAGGAAAGTCTTCAAGAACGCTCTCCTTTCTGCCTTGTAGGTTTTCCTAGGTTCCGGCATCTCTCCGCTTTTTGAATGGGAAGGGCCACTGTTTTCCCCCTCGCTTTGGGCTTAACGTTTTACAGACTTGTGCTCTTTCATACGGCTTGCAACGATTACAGGCTTCAAGTTGCTTTTCCCCTGTTGTTTTTATGGTGTTGTATAACGATTGTGAGCGTCTTTGAGCGCAACCCAGAAGCAGGCTGCAGAAATGTAAACAACAACAATAATAGTAACAGTAACCATAAGCCTTCTGCAAAACTCTGGGGAGTAGAAAGCTGCCATCCACTGCCTGTCAAGTCTGTGTGCTTTTCTAGGCCTCGTTTCTGTGCGAAAATGGCTTTTCCTCCTGAATCTGGCACTTTCTATCTCAGTAATAGTTTGCTCTTATTTGCCCGTGTCTGCCTGTTTCGGTTGGGGGAGAATCCTTCCCTTGTCTGGCCCATCCTGGGTCCAGGCTCATGATGACATCAAATTCCTTGTCGGGCCCAATGTAGGCAGGAAATTAAAAATAAAACTTCCCTCATAGCACCGCCCTTCCACAGATCTGTAATACGACCACATCAGGTGTCCTGAATGAAATTTCTGCTCAAGCCACCTGGAAAAAAAAAGCTTATTGCAGGAGTTCTGATGGGGCAGAAGAGAGGAGGTGGAGTGACCAAAATGGGGATCAAGCAGAACATTAAGGATGTTTGGGGTGGTTCAGCACAGAAGGAAGTAATGTAAAGGGGGGAGATTATAAGTGTGGATAAAAAAAGGAGAGAAGCAAAAGGGGAACCCTTTTGGGTCCGTCACAGAATCTGAATGGAGATCCATGGAACATTCCCAGT